TCACTTCGATTTTCGCAACCTACTTTTTTCTTCTTTTTCTTTTTTCTTACAATGGTGGGACCCACTCATTTTCTCTCTACCACATAAGATAACTATCTTATGTGGAAAGAGATTAATAAAACCCTTTAAAAATTACAGGACATTAACCGCATTGTTCCTTTTTTGAACTTTTTTTTATAGAACACCTCCCCGGCGAGAAATTTTATCATAATTCCACGTCTTTAAACTGGTTATAATTGCCAGCGAGTTTGGTTTGTCACATGACATGTTTCCTGAGGGGTTCAAACTCACTGCCAGCTATAGCGATTATGGTAGTCAAAGTGTTTAGTTTTTTTCAACAAAAGTATGACACGTGACAGACAGATATAAACTTGTTGTTAGTGGCAGCGAGTATAGTCTGACGAGTCAAAAAAGAACTCGTTTCCACTGACAGTGAGTATATGTCTACCTGCCACATGTAAGAAACTCGCCAATAGTCCCAACGAGTTCAATGCTATATAATCCCCCTTCCCTATTTCATACTTCCATATGTTCAGAACATATAATCCGTACGTTCAAACTCGCTAGTTTTGTGTTTGTATTTGTCAATGTTACTTCATCCTCCTATTCTTTTGTTTTAATTTTTACAAAATGAGTAACAACAATCATTCAATATTTGCTTGTGTACTACAATGAGGGGAAATATTTTAGCCCCAATGGCTAAGTTTTTGAAGATGATATGAAAATTTAATATGAGCCCTCGATGTAGTTACAATGATCTGAAGAAGTTTATATACAAGAAGTTGAGATTACAACGGGATCAATCTAAGTCTCAGTTGACTGCTAGATGTGCTTCGGGTAAAGAGAGTTGGTCGAGTTCCCGTGGAGATTGTTAAGGATATCACGTTAGCAGTAGACGCATTTCAAAATGATTGAGACTTCACATTTATTGATCTGTATATGGAAGTAGACTTCGATGGACCTTCTAGAGCATTCCTTCCCTTCATTTCACTCCATCTGGTAACACTATGTGTGCAGTCCGTGTATTAACTCATTATGGTATTAAGTGCAACATTAATAATTAAGAATCAAGAATGAAATTGTCTAACTTTGTTACTTATAGTTTTAACTTCATAAATTATTTACTTTGAGAAATATAAGTAATATTTTTTTAAGGATTAAAGACCTTTGAGTTAGTTTTACATAGTTTCAAGCTTCACACAATTTGGAGCTTTATAGCTCAAACAATCAACCCAACAAATATCAAGATTTTACGACAAATAAAGTAAATAGAATTCTGACAACTTTGATTTCTCACCAAACTAGAAACTCGTTTGCTACCCAAAAATTCTCAAACTTGGACACATGAAACTATACACCTGGGACTTTAAAATGATATATAATTTGCCGCGTTTGTTTAAGAAACAAAGGAGATATGACTTTTACAAAAACTGGCATAATCCTGACATTATGAATTCAAACATGGGCCGTGTTTATTTCGTTGTCGTGCTCGTGCCAACATGGCTCTTAAATACAAAAGGAATACAGTAGGAAAGATTTACAATTTAAATTTTGAATTTTTGCTGACAACTAATTATAATCCTATAACTATGCTGACAATTAATTATATTCAATGCAGAATATTGACATATTAATTATGTTCACAACTAATTCTGATCATATGCTGACAATGCGAAATATTAACATACTAATTATGCTGACAATTAATTCTAATCCTATGTTATCAATATGCTGACAACTAATTGTAATTCTATCATTACGTATATATTAAATGCAAAATATTTCCTAATAACTTCCACCAACTCTAATGTTTAGGGATTAAAGCTCATATAGGATGCGGATGAGTTTCGTGAAAAAAAAAAAACATGAGAGAAAGAAAGAAAGAATGATAGGAAGGAGAACCTATTTGATGTGGAGAATTGAGTTGCATACGTTAAAGAAGTGCTGAGTTGGATGGTTTTGGGATCGAGGTCAATAAATTCTCATGATACCGATTACTAATAGTAGCTTTTGCAAAAAAGAAGTGGAGTTAAAGGGCCATAAAGAGAGTAAAAGTTAGAAATAAAATTTCTTTATGCCTATGTTTTTGTTCAAAAGTTAAATGGTATTCAATAGTGACGGGGAGATTATACTTACTATATATATTTTTTCTTAATATTTCTTATGTCATTGTTGGATAAAAATTAAATCAACAATTTTCACTTAATGTTATTTTATATTCGTTGATTTAATTTTGATTTAATGATAATAAAGTTGGTAGTAAGAAAAAATGATAGTAAATATAACCTATCCTATTTTTACGAGGAGCGTTATTCTTACAATCTCTTTTCGCTTACAATCTCTTATAACCTATTTTTTCACTGTTGATTTCCATCAATCCAATAATTTATTGAAATTAATAATTAATTAATAAATATGACATAATAAATTATAATCGTTAGATTGAAGGAAATCAGTGATGAAAAATAAGTTATAAGAGATTGTAAACAAAAATAGATTATAAGAATAATGATCCTCTTTTTTATTATTATTAATATTATTATTATTATTAAAGAATTACAGGAAACTGGCAAAAAGAAATCATATAAGTCGGAACTGTAATATTCTAACTATCTTTGACAAAATGGCAGGCGATGGTACAAATTATAATAGATCTTACTCGTAAAAAATACTTTTTTATATAACAAGATAATAATGAGAGAGGATATTTATACTATCACTATTGTTTACTACCATTTCACTATCATTTTAATATTTATGTAGTCCGAGGATTATACTAAAAATTGTTTTTCTTCTCTCAGAAGTTTTTAAAAGATCATGGGTTAAAAGGTGAGATGATTAAAATGGTAATAGATTGATAGTAAAAAAATTCAGGGATAAGAATACTGTAACTCTTATAATTATAAGGAAAAAAATGTTTATCCTTTTAAAATGACATAACTTATATCATTTCACTCTCACAAAGATATGAGATCTACGTCTTTATTTATTTTTGTGCACTCTCTCTTTCCCTTTATCTATCTTTTTACTCACTTAAAATAACACAATTTTACATTCTTTTAAGAGTAAATACCATTTTTAGTCCCTCGCAATATCCACGAAGCCCTTTTCAGTCCCTAGCAATAAAAAAGGGACAAATTGGTCCCTGAAATAACAAAAAAGAGGCCACGTTCATCATTCCGTTAACTCCCACCTAACGGTGCACAGTTGGCACGTTAGTTTGCTGATGCTGCTTGGATGTGGGACACCGTGGAAGACGAGACGACGACGTTTTGGTCACTGTCAAAACCACGAGGGCCATTTTAGTCCCTGTCAAAATGCACGATGACGTTTTTAGTCCCTGACAAAAAGCACGGGGCCCTTATTGGTCCTTAACCAGAGAAAAATAGGCAGATGACTTCATTGCTTTTCTATGCAGTCCAATTTTGCAAAACAGAAGTGCATTACATCAGAAACAGAAGTGCAGTCCATTTGTTCATCACAAAGTAATTAAACTAAATTTCATCACAAAGTAAAATACTCCTTGGCATTCTATTTCAATGAAGTTTGTGTTTCTAACTGAAGTTTTGACCTTATTAGCGATTATTCATTTCTTTTTCAATGCTAATTAAGCTTTCCACTTTGTTAAAAGGGATTCTTGGCTCTTGCAAACAGCTTTTACGATCCCTAGAATACTATGAACTGCTTTAATTCTCTAAGTCTGTATAAGACATAGCGTTATGCGATTTACGAACAATATCTTCAGTATTGTAGCATTACAATTATACTATTTATTTTCTATAAAAGATAATTGCATGATTGTTGATAATTAAATACAGAGAAAAATCAGAGAAGAAGCCAGGTAAATGGTAAATGATTGTTGATAATTGCAATGCATGACAGTTGACTGTACTGCAGTAGTTGGTAGTTCTCAGCCACATGAAGGCAACTTGAGAGGAAGCAGCCCACCTCCATCAAATCCACAACAAGCAAATGAGTTGTTGAGTAATGAAACAATGAATGCAGCAACCAGTGGCACACGAAGTATATTATTGGCCTTCATGAACACACCTGATTTTAGGCCACCAAGGCCTGCCTCAAGAAAATGACCTGCTACTGTATATGACCTGAGAGTAGTGCATGAGCCAACTGAGAAGGGTTTATTATTATATGACTGACTTTTTTTGAAAATTCTGGCCATTATGTATTTGGAGGCCTTATTATGTCAATGTTTTTTTTGTAAATTCTGGCCATATTGTATTAGAGGCCTTTCTTTTAATTCGTGGCAGTTGGCTTTATTTTGTAATGCACTACTGTACATCCATGTCTTCAAATATAATGATACTCAAATCATGTTCCAGCTATTATGTTTCACAGGGTTGATGAATGTTTAAGTTTACCATTTTTGATGTTTTTAACTAATATACGTAGTTGTAGTTCTTGTACATCCATGTCTTCTAGTTTAACAAATTGGACTGCATACAAATTCAATTTAATGTCATGTTCCTGTTTTGCAAAATTGGATTGCACTCCTGTTTCTGATGCAATGCACTTCTGTTTTGCAAAATTGGACTGCATAGAAAAGCAATGAAGTCATGTGCCTATTTTTCTTTGGTTAGGGACCAATAAGGGCCCCGTGCTTTTTGTTAGGGACTAAAAACGTCCTCGTGCATATTGACAGGGACCAAAATGGCCCTCGTGGTTTTGACAGAGACCAAAACGTCGTTGTCTCGTCTTTCACGGTGTCCCACATCCAAGCCGCGTCAGCAAACTAACGTGCCAACTGTGCACCATTAGTTGGGCCATTAGGTGGGAGTTAACCGAAGGATGAACGTGGCTTCTTTTTTGTTATTTCAGGGACCAATTTGTCCCTTTTTTATTGTTAGAGACAGAAAAGGGCTACGTGAATATTGCGAGGGACTAAAAAAAGTATTTACTCTTCTTTTTTATGACACATGTTTTTCCCTCATTATAAACATAGTATGATAAACTTCATCCATCGCACTTTCCTGCAACTTTTCCGTAACACCAGACCCCCTTGGTCCGAGTTTCATAAATCAAAGCCGGGTTCTCGGGCCTTGGTAGTTATCTCTTTGGGCCCAAATCAAGAAAAAAAATGTTTTTTTATGAAAAGCATCGACGTTAATGGCCCAGCGACACCCTCTGCGTGTGTATGTGTCTCTGTAAATTCAATCGATGCTGTCTCACTCTGTGCAACTCCACCGTGTTCCCATGTCTAGTCTTTATTGTTCTTCTTCTTTTGCAAATTGCGGGAGTAACAATCCACGTTTGGCCCCACTGACCCGAATTTCATGTGGTTCGAGCTCGACCCGTTCGAAGGCAAAGAGAACGCGCGACAAATCGGAAGCTCAAGAGCTGGTTCTTTTACTCACGCGCAAGATAAGTGACAAAGAGCCTTTGTTGAAGACACTGAACAAGTATGTGAAGCTGGTCAGAACCGAGCATTGCTTTTTGCTCTTTGAAGAGCTTGGCAAATATGATAAATGGTTACAATGCATTGAGGTCACTTTCCCCTTCTCATAGCTCTTTAACTACTCAACTTTTTTAATTGTTGACAATATCTTATGATTTATCAAAATGGGTGTCCGATGAGAGGAAAAATCTAATTTAATTTTTTTTTGCCATAAGATTAATCTCGTGTTTCGTTGCCTCCAATTTTCATAGAATTTTGGGAATCTAGTTTGTGGGATGCAACTTAAATTTGTTTTAACTTTTTTAGTAAACATCATATCTCATTATATCCTTCATTTGTAGGTCATATGTAAGGGAAGCTTGTGGTTGGTATACACTGACATTGGATTAGGGCAAATAAAAAAGGGAAAAAAAAAATCATATCACGTTATAGAACATAGTAGTATGGATTAAAATAAGGGAGCATGACAATTAGCACGGATACAGTGTAATGAAAATGTCAATGGTTGACTCTACCTCACTTAAAGAGTTATGATATTTGGCATTCAGGTTTTCAGATGGATGCAGAAACAACGATGGTATATTGCTGATAATGGAATTTACTCAAAACTCATATCGGTTATGGGGAAGAAAGGCCAAACCAGAATGGCTATGTGGCTTTTCTCGGAGATGCGAAATGCTGGCTGTCGCCCGGATACTTCTGTGTATAATGCACTCATTACAGCTCACCTTCATTCAAGGGATAAAGCAAAGGTTTTGGCCAAAGCTCTTGGCTACTTTGAGAAGATGAAAGGAATGGAGCGGTGTAAGCCCAACATTGTTACATACAATATTCTTTTGAGAGCTTTTGCGCAAGCTCGGAAAGTGGATCAGGTGAATTCTTTGTTTAAGGATCTTGTCGAGAGCATTGTTTCGCCGGACATTTACACGTTTAATGGTGTGATGGATGCGTACGGAAAAAATGGGATGATCCGCGAAATGGAATCAGTGCTTGCTCGAATGAAAAGCAATCAGTGTAAGCCTGACTTGATTACCTTTAATTTGCTGATTGATTCATATGGGAAGAAGCAGGAATTCGATAAGATGGAGCAAGTGTTTAAGAGCTTATTACGCTCCAAGGAGAAACCAACACTTCCTACATTTAATTCAATGATTTTGAACTATGGGAAGGCACGGCTTAAGGATAAAGCAGAAAATGTTTTCAAAAAGATGACTGACATGGGTTACAGACCGAGCTTTATCACACATGAGAGTCTCATCTATATGTATGGCTTCTGTGATTGTGTTTCCAGGGCAATAGAATTGTTTGATGGGCTGGTTGAGTCAAAAGTTCAGATAAAAGTTTCAACCCTAAATGCTATGCTTGATGTTTACTGCTTAAATGGTTTACCACAGGAAGCAAATTCACTATTTGAGAGGGCAAGGAGTATACAAATATTTCCTGATTCATCAACATATAAACTTCTTTATAAGGCTTACACTAAAGCCAACTCAAAGGAGCTTCTAGATAAGTTGCTGAAGCATATGGATAAAGATGGTATTATCCCTAATAAGAGGTTCTTCTTGGATGCTCTGGGTGCTTTTGGATCTTTACCAGCAAATTCAGGATCTGCTGATGCGGCAACAGATTCAAACAACCCCCGAGATTTTGCAAAAGCTCAGCTAGAAACATAGTTGGCAATTCACATCAAGAATTTAACTCATCTGTGACTTGCATACAAGCAGCACAGTTCACTTGTGAGGTGGTATGTTAAATCACTTTGCCACCACTTCTCCATCATTCCATTTTTCATCATATTGATTCTTCTGAGGAACAAATTTTCACTTGGTCTTCATATGACATCATTTTTTTTAACTTTTCTCAAATAAATAGTATAATAATGCCGTTTCCTTGAAATTAAATTATTCATCTTATAAGATGCAACTCCTCTGTTCATGTATTAACCTTCGGGCCCGCAGACTTGCTGTTGGCTTTTGCATGATAAGCCCTGAAGAATCATGCTTAGTTACCCTAAACCCTAAACCTATTAATTTAAGCAAGTACATTTAATAAATTAGGAAGTCACAACAATGAATCTTGAGGAAAATTAAGGCATTTCAGAATACTTGGTAAAATTAACTTCTGGTGCTGAAATTTAATATTCTTAGTACAAAAAAAGAAAAGAATAAGTAATGATATGTGCTTATTTGCCATGGTGGTAAACAATGTTTCATTTCTAGTCTATTGCCCTGTTATGTTTGGTAAACTATAATATGTATAAAATTGTCTATTGTGTATCAAACGAATATTGTTTTAAGAAATAGAGCCTAAGTGAGGAAATTTTGGGCCTTGCATGTCCTTCCTTTAGTCACTTGCGACAATTACCTTCATTCCCGTTTGTGGTGAATTTGATTGGCTTGCTGCTATATCTCCCACGCTCACAATTCTCTATTTTTCGTAAGAAAATGTTGACATTTTCCCTTTTCACTTTCAGTATCTTTATTTTTTTTTGTTTTCTTAAGCTGTGTCTGTTCGTTCATCTGAATATTTTTTTTCTTGTCTGTTGATTGCAAGTTTGCCAGTTGCAATTTGCAAATGAAGCACTGAACCCATTTAATAAAGTTATATCAACAGAAATATAGACATAGAAGGTCCTGTTATCCTAGGCTCCATATGTAGTATATATTATATTCAACTAGTTCTTGTCTGAAATGACTAATGCTTTCTCTTGCTGGTGATGATGCAGCACCAGATGACAATGGCAGCCAAAATGATGTTTTTTATGATATATTTTAGTTTTATAACTGCATGAAAATTTATTTTCTATCTCTTATATTTGAAAGAATTTGTTGGGGATGCTTAACCCACTCACTTTCTGGTTCAGTGACATGTTGGAAAGTACTAACAGGAGTTCTCGATTGATCATAAATGACTTTCAGGTGTGTAGGTTTCACTCACTTTTAGACTATTTTATTATTTAAATGTTTGGCTGTGACAATTTTTAATTGGCCCCCAAATACCACCGCCACTGCGCCACACATATCCATGAGTAACATAGCAACAATGAAGAGACAATAAGATTCTCAAAGCCAAAACACAAATCACAACTCTATTGAAGGATAATAAAATATTTATTCTTTATTTATCCCCTTTGTTGTCTTTTTTTTTTTTTATATAAATAATTATGGACTATTTTCCTTTGATCTTTGGTAAGTTGGATATTATTTTGGCAAATTGGTTAGAATTTTATTTTCCCTTGGCTTCCTGAATAAAATTTGTGTGGCTTCGCTTGTCATGAATGGTTCATTTTTGTTCATAGGTATAAGGTATTTCATGTGCATTGTCCCCATCTTCATGGCACTATGGTCTTTGAAGAATGTATTAGACCGAACAACAACCAAAGCTAGTTTAGTTGATAACCAATCCAAACGAGAAGCTGCGGCAGCGCAATGAGCACATCTATGATTTACAAATGAAATTTTCATCAATGATGTTATTGATTGAACAATGATCATACTGATTCAATTTGATATCAAGGCTAAAAGGTTGAATTGTAATGTTTTCTCCACAGTACTGAAAACAGTGGATTAATAAAACAATTTGTCGAATAAAATTTATTGTGTTAGCACTTAGGAACATTTGAATGATTGGACTTCTTTAATTTACAACAGGTATGGTTCGGTTTCTAATCTGATGCAGAACAGGTTATGAACAAACATGTATGGTTCGGTTTCTTATCTGATGTAGAACAGGTTATAAAGACAATTGTTCAGCCCAATATAGTGAATGGCTCTATATTGTTACATGCAAAATGTATCCTCTTAGGTGTTAAATAATATAGTTATGTCATGTGCGAGATTTTTAACCATTGATGTATAAATTAACAGTGATGATCTTATAATTTCCTATTTCAACATTTTTTTATCTCATCCATTATCATCATTAATCTACCATTATATGGTTAAAATTCTCTTACATGGCAAGATTATATTAAATTATACCTGAGACAACCCACTGCCATTGTTACCTCTAGATGATTCTGGCCACGTTTAAGATCCATTTTATGATCGCATAAAGTATATGCAAGGGAGTGCTTTATTATTATTATTAATAATTTTTTGTATAAATACTTTTAAATTTATATAAAATTTGAAATGTAGATTAATCTTTTTAAAAATGTCTAAAATTTTAAATAAATAGTTGATGAAAAATTGAATTTAAATTTTAAAGAAAAATTAAGAATGATATATGTCTTTTTTCAAAGAAAAGCATATGAAAAGATTAACTAATTTTGAAGAAATTATTCTGATGTATACAAAAGTGAATTGTAATTTTAATAAACCATTGTTAAAAAAAATGTTTAAAAAAGAATGTTTGAACTAGATATGTACACGATCACGAGTTTGAGTCCCAATCATCAGTGGCGGAGCCATTTGAAAGGTAGGCACCACCTAATTTTTTAAAATGGTATAGATTTTCTTAAAAAAAATTGATATAGCCTTTATATTAGTTGAATTTTTAAAAACAATACAATTTTAACACCACCTAATTTTAGTGGCTGAATCTTTTGGCATTATCTAATTTTTTTCTGTGGCTCCGCCACTGCCAATCATACCAACAAGTTGATATTAAGTTTAAAAAAATAAATAGATACCTGCATTTGACCAAATTACAAAAGTGAATTAGTAAAGTTATAGTCATGCTGTCCTTAAAAATTCAGTGATCCCGTAACGGTTAAGTTGCCACCTTACAACTGTGTATGCAACCACACGAGCCAATAAAATCTTACAATTTAATCTTTTAAAAATTAGATGAGACTAATGTGTAATAGTCTTATTTCTGGCCCAACTACTAATTATGTTATTTGGTTTGATCTGACTGAATTATGAAATTAGCAAGCTGAGTTAATCAAACCATAACTTAAATATTTTGCTTGTTCAATTTTTATTTTATTTTTAAAAAAGTGATTTATTTATAAAAAAAAAAAAAAAAAAAAAAGAGTTGGGGGACCATGTCATGGTTGACAACAGCTAGCTCCGATATTTTAACTCCACTTAAGCCGGCAACAACATTATATATATGATTCTTTCCCAAACTAGTTTACATGGAAATCTTCCAAAGATGCAATTTTGACATTGGGCCACCGCATAGTGGTCCTTCATTGTCTTCAGTTTTTAAATTTTTCCCCAAAATTAGTCAGTCTTTGCAAAATTAAAATCTGGGTTAAAATATGTATTGGTTTGTCAATTTTCTTCAAATTCAAATAGCATGTATTATTTTTGGGTTATTTAACGCAAAAACAATAAAGAAAATGAGGAAAACTTAGGGGGAAAACGCTTGTTGCCGAAAGGTCTATGCGTGCAACCAAAACAAAAACAAAAACAAAAATCTACACGTTTAATCAGGTACACTCTACGATAAATGATTTTAATTAATAATTTATTTACTAATGATTAATATTTATTAAAAATCATTATCAATCATGAGTAGTTTATTATTCAAATATTATTATACAGATAACTAAATAAAAACATTTCCAAGTTAATTACAAAAAAAAAAAAAAATTCCAAGTTACTATCTGTCTCTGTCTTCTTCTTTTTTGTCTTATATTTCTTTGCACAAAACCATTTTACATATAAAAGGCATGAAAACACACACCAGCTTTATGAATTATTGACATGAAAAACAAACAATTATGAATTATCAACTGGTAGGCGATACGAAAATGTTTGGTGATACATTGCGACTACATTATGCTTGGTGAATTCTAAAAAAACTAACCCTAAAGAAACAAATTTTCGGTGCAATATGAGGTAGGTACACGTACATCCTTAAAAAAAAATAAGAATATGGAAGAAAATAAATATGAAGTTAAAAATAATACATGATAAGATCGCTGACCTAATGATCAATCTTCTATATCTATCGAATAATGCGTTGAACCTGTTCCTGCCAACAAAGCACAAGAATCGAGACACGTGATGATCCCATTATCTCATTCGGTGCAAGTCATGTTCACGGAGTTGATTTTTTATGTGAAAAATATTATGCGTTCACGTTATTTGATCATAATTATTCATTGATGATGAGAAAATAAAAAGAAAAATATATAATGTTTAAATCAGTGATTGTGATCAAATAACATGACTCACGTAATTATTTTTTCACATAAGAATATCCACTTCCATCGTAACATCAATTGCCACTGCCACATTCTCCTAATTTTGTCTGTTTAGATTGCATGTGATCTTTCTTAATGAAGTAATATTCGAGGCCTTGTGTTTGGTACGAGAGATTTTTTTTTTATCAAAAAAATAAATTTGTTAGAGAAATGATAAGAATTTTTTTATCCTGGATAAATTACAAAAAAATATTCGGTTGGCCAAAATTTTGCAAAAAAAGTTGGATTAATTTTATGGATGCTATGTTTGGTTAATGGTAAAATATTGATGAGAATGTGAATAAAATTATCAAAATAAACTTTATTTTTTTGAATATGTCAAGTGAGTCATCATCAAATGTTGCTTTTTTTTGAAAAAAAGTGAATCAAATGTTACTTTTTGAGAATCAAAATCAAGGAAAAAAAATATACCAAAGGTTAAGTGGGAAAAAATTTGCCTTTGTGTAGTTCAAAAGAAAAATATCGGGTAAAACAATTTGCTGACATTTTGTTCACAATACTCATATCAAACATGGTAAATAAATATTCTCTACCCCACTTTCCCACCATTCCATACCAAATACTCATACCAAACATCTCCTTGATTTTTTACAATAAATTATTAAAAAGTTAATTTTTTTTGTATTACAATTTGAGATTTTTATTTTAAATAAAATACTTTTACTTGAAAATTCGGAAAAAAAAATATTTAACTTGAAATATAAAAATAACTTAAACACGTGGCTTAAATATTTTTATGTAACCACGTGAGTGGGCGTGATGGTTCAGCATCTCGTCCCTTAAGCAAGTGGTTGGGGGTTCGAACCCCAACTCTTGTGAATGGAAAGCATTCTGTGACCAGCTCTTTACCGCTTTGTGCGCTGACCCGGGACGAGGGACTAATCTCATGACTATCAGCTGTGAGGATACCCGGATGTAATCTAAAAAAAAAACTTTTATATTAAAATTGAAATCTTTAGTTGGTCAAACTTCTCATCCTTAATAGATGTGTTTCAAAATTGGAGTCCTTAATTGCGTATCACAGTAGAATTCAATTTCGTATAAATTACTATTACCAACTCTCTTTTCGTTTTTCTGATTTGGATAAACAATCATTTATTGTTATGTATTTTTAACTGTAACTAGAATCTTCTGGCAGGAATTACTTGTTATCGCGACTTGGATGTCTTTCAACAAATGTTACTCACTTATTACTGCTCTTGATTTTTTTTCTTTTTTTTCCCCTTCATATCTTGAAATAGTTATTTTTCGTCACAAGTGCTTTATTGCAAGCTTAGACCTTTAATATCATAAAAACCTCTCAACCAATAAACTTAGACTTTTTTTTTGTAACACAGAGGGGCAAAACTCCAAACAAAACAAAAATTACACGACGAGATAATTAAAAGATCTACAGAAACATCCTCAAGAAGGAGCTTTAACAAAAGAGGAGGTGGAGAATGATAAACAATAAGATTATTATCATCCTCAAAATGCCTAGAAGCAAATCAGTGAGCACATGTGTTGTTCTCTCTAAAGGTGTGGACCCAACGAACATCCCAATCTTCAGCAAGCCACTTTGTGAATACGGGAAACAACCTGAGAATTTTTGTGATTATTGATATCTCCTTGAATAGTGCTGATTGCAATCTCTGAGTCATATTCCAACTCTAATCTCCTAGATCCAGTACCCCAAGTCATCTCTAAACCTTTGAGTATATCCCAAAGTTCTGCATCTAGAGGATTACATAAACCTAACCTGAATGAGAATCCACCTAGAAAAGCACCATTGTGATCTCTAATAAGGCCCCCACAGTTAGCATACTTCCTAGATAGGGATGAAGCACCTACCATCTGTATTAATCTTCAACCAACCAAGTTCAGGACGACACCACTTAATAGGTTGTTGGACACTAGGGTTACTGCCAAGAATGCTTCTATTCTTTCCTCTTGCTTCAATTAAGTGCGCAATAAAATCAGAGATTACAAACTTGTCATTGCTTGGTCTCCGAAAGCTATCATCATGAATCTGAAGATTACGCCAATTCCATAGATGCCAACAAGTAGTAAAGAAAACATCTCTCCAATCAACTTGGTTTTGATGATTCCAACCCTTACTGACATTCCTGATGAGCCAAGCCTGTAGGTCTAACGTGAAGAAATCGTTGGGAACCCTACTTCCAAACCAATCTATCCACAAAATTTTGGCTTGAGAACAATCTAGAAAGACATGGATGAGTGTTTCTTCACCGTTGGGACAGTTAATGCATATATTAGGACCCCCATTCCACTTGCATGTGCGACTCCTAACTAGAAGTTTATTAAGGAACGCCAGCCACATCGTAGTCTTGATTCTTTCTGGACCCTTCCAGTCCCAAATCTTCTTCCAAGGAAAATTCCTTTGAGAATGTTGAAAATTCATCAAGTTCATGTAGGCAACCTTAACTAAGGAAGATGACACATGATTCTGACACCAAACTAACCTATCCTCAGTATTATCTTCCAAAGCATCAGGAATGCAAAACACCTTAGAGATTAGATCATCATTTAGAAATTGATTCATATATTGAATATCCCAGGTACCCTGCTGAAAAACCTCTGCTAAAGTTTTATGCAATTCCAAATCAGGAATGTGATTAGGAGCTAGATTGCTTAGATTGTCATCCAGATTCAACCAATTATCTACCCAGAATTTAATAGTCTTTCCATCACCCACCTCCCAACGAAGACAAGCTAAAAAATTATTCCAACATTTAGAAAGGTTTCGCCAAAGTTTAGAATCATAAGGCTTAGAACTTATCTCGCGCCTCAAATCTTTTCCTCTGCCATACTTGGCTCTCAAAATCTTAACCCAGAGCTCATCTTTATCAGTTAGGATTTTCCAGGTCAGCTTGTGTATATAATCCTCATTTTGTGTACGCAATCTGATAATACCAAGGCCTCCTATTTCCTTCGGTTTATACATTGTGTCCCAAGCCACTAAATGAGCTTTATTAATACCCCAAATGAAATTACGTTGAAGCTGTTCAATCTCATCACACACAGATGTGGGAAGAAGACCATTTTGCATATGGAATGAAGGAATAGCACCAATCACTGATTTAGCCAGTGTGACTCTCCTTGCAAAAGAAAAACTTTGGTGCTTCCAGCCATCTAGTTTCTTTCGAACCCGATCCATTAGAGTAGCATAATTTGTTTTCAAATCTCGCCCTTGCCTGATAAATGAGCCCAAGTATTTACCAATACTACTTACTCTTTTGAAACCAGAAAGCACAGATATTGCATCCGCATTTGCATCAGATGTATTGGGAGAGAAGTAGATGGTAGACTTATGAACACTTATACTTTGACCAGACATTCTGCAAAAAAGATCTAAACACTCCATTATTACCTGCATTTGCTGCACCGAAGCTTCAGAAAAAAGGACAATATCATCTGCAAACATGAGATGGGAAATTGTTGGACCACCTCTACACACTCTGATCGGTTTCCACACACCACTGCCAACCCATTGAGCAATAAGATGAGATAACTTTTCATCACATAAGACAAAGATATATGGGGATAATGGATCACCCTGACGAATTCCACGTTCAGGAATGATAGTTTCGGTTAAACCCCCAATCACAAGCACTTTAAAAATTATTTGTTGTGATAGATGCCATAATGAAACCATCCAAGATGGAAGCTGGATTTCAGAGATAACCTTATGAATAAACGACCAATTAAGTTTATCATAGGCTTTTTCTAAATCAATTTTAATGGCCATAGCACCCATCTTAGCTTTAAACTTAGTCATCGAATGAACAATCTCTTTTGCTGTAATAATGTTGTTACGTTATAATTTGAAATTTTTAATATACTCTTTACCTAATTTTCATCTTAATCACAATTTATATTTATTGACAATATTTTAAAATATAACTTTATTAATATGAGTATTATGACCTTGACCTGATACTTTAAACTTTTAGGTTGAATGTTGTATTATATGTTACAGAAAATAAATATTTTTATGAGAATTCCTCCATTAAAGACGTAATATTGTTCGTTAATCAATTCTATTACATTTAGAATCCCATTTTTTTAAAAAAGATTACAAACTGAAAATATTATTGTAAAATGAATTAATTATCCAAAAGTAGATGATCACAGTTCACAGTGACATTAAATTGCGATCTCAGACGAAACTTAAAATTAATTTCAAGAGTTTGAATTTGAATTTTAAAATTACTTTACGAGGAATTTTACCAAATCATTGTGATAATTGACTTGAAATTACTTAAACAATTGCTTTTTCACAAAAAAATATAAGTTTAATTTGGACAAAATTAAAATTGACGCAGGTAGACTAAATGGAAAAAATATTTATCTTTTAAAATAACACAACTTGTGTCATCTCACTCACAAAGAGATGAGACCCACATCTTTATATTTTTTTGTCCACACTCTTTTCTTTTTTATCTATTTCTTTCTCTCATTTAAAATGACATAACTTTACATTCTTTAAAATGATACACACTTTTCTCACTAAATATATTCCTAAAATATATCCACAATCATATTCCAAGAACTATCATACTTTATAAAGATTTAATATTATGCAACAGATTGGCTTAGCCGGAGACAAATATGTAATATGTTAATAAACAAAGGTTAAAAAAAATGGAGAAAAAATATTTGTCTTTTTAACTGACACAACTTGTATTATTTCACTCTCATAAATAGACGAGACTCTCACATCTTTAAATTTTTGTCCATTTTTTCTTTTATGATCTATCTTTTTCTTTTACGTAAAATGACACAAATTTACATCATTCGAAATGACATACAATTTTCAAAAAAAAAAATCTATTAACGCAATTTTCAATAAAAAGAAAAATTGAAGTAGTCCTGTAATTAACTGTTCTAAAAGAAAGTATTATTTTCATTTTTTCACATTGCTGACACCGTGACACGTATATATATCCATATATAGTACGACATTTAAATTAGCAGATTCTTGTTCACGTGACGTGTTTCAACTTTCAATTGAAATATCGTAATCTGCAAGATAATTACTTTTTAATTGTTCTTCAAAATCCGGAATAATAATAATAATAATAAATGACGACATTAATTGGAGATTCCATTAACGGACGCGAAACAAAGACATACTTCATTTTCATTTCAGCATAAAAAGGTGCTATTAGCTAGCAATGGCCATGCACTCTCACTCTCACGCTTTCCTAAGCTGAAACGCTTATAATTTCACGTGACTAGTGTGTGAGTAACCCAACAAAAAAAGATTCCAATTGAGTTCACTGAATTCAGATACCAATCCTTCATGGCTGCGATGCAAGTGCTACGCAAGAGATCCAAGTCCCTCGCATCCTACACTCGCACCTTTTCTTCTTTCGGAACCTCCGCCACTGCCTCCCACAAAGTCGTTACGCCGCCGTCGCTTCCGCCGTTCGATCACCAGCCTCAACCGTATAAAGGACCATCGGCCGATGAGGTCTTCGCCAAGAGGAAAAAGTTCCTGGGTCCTTCCTTATTCCACTACTATCAGAAACCTGTGAGTCTCCAAAATTAAAAGCAACCTTATCATCCTCGAAACTTTTGTTTTTCCCTTTTATTTTTATTTTTTAATGTATTGGTCCTATAATGAAAAAGTTTATAATGAATTGATAACGCAGCAATTAAATATGACAGTTTGTAATTAACTTCTGGCAACAACTTTTCTGATGAGGCAAAGATTTACCATGATGTTTTTTTTTTGTTCGTTGAAGTTGATGCTTTGAGTGAAGTGAAGTCAATATGGGGTGTGATGAAAAATTAACGATGTGGATTCAGTTCTGATGCTTCAGTGTGGTTTATGGACTATGAATGATTGGTTTCTGATTTAGATTTTAATTATGTATATATTTAGCTCAATATTGTGGAGGGCAAGATGCAATATCTTTTTGATGAGAGTGGGAGGCGTTATCTTGATGCTTTTGCCGGGATAGTTACTGTCTCTTGCGGACATTGTCATCCTGAAGTTTTGAATGCTGTGATGGAGCAGAGTAAACTTCTGCAGCATGCTACAACCATATATCTACATCATACAATAGGTGATTTTGCTGAGGGACTGGCATCAAAAATGCCTGGAAACCTCAAGGTCAGTTTTCTATTGATTATTTGTTTCTAGATTCTTACTTCAATTCTATATATAGTGAACTTTTTTTGTAAAATATTATGATGACTGTAAGATTTCATAATGCCTCTCCTTCTTGAAATGTCATGTTTCTAGCACTAAGTCCTTATATAGTTTAACATTACCATGCCTCCAAAACAGTGACAGTTTCTCCATGTCATTATTTATATTTTATTTTTTTTCTTCTTTTCCTTGTCATTATGCCTTCCTGCTTCATGTCATGCATTCATTGGAGAAGCAAAATGTTCAATTTTATAATGTGCTAGATTTCATTCAATGTGCAACATAATCATCAACTTTCAAATACACAATTTGAAATTGCAGGTTGTTTATTTTGTAAATTCTGGATCAGAAGCAAATGAATTAGCAATGCTGATGGCCCGTCTATATACTGGTAATCTTGGCATGATTTCTTTGAGGAATGCATATCATGGGGGGAGTTCGAGTACAATGGCTCTGACCGCTCTGAACACTTGGAAATACCCAATACCAGAGGTGTGTCTGTATATTTGATCACAATATTTCAATTGGTTGGTTGATCTTAGAGGGCAATTTTAAATTTCAATCAGAATTATAAGCTGCAGTATATATGTATACCACCAACTACGGCAGTAAAACCTGTGAGCCCCTTTTTTTAAACTCAATAACTATTTCGTGGTTGCAGCTGTAGTAATTTATTTTCTCCTCGACGTGTTTACTCACCTGAAGAAGGAATTCAAGATTCTGAGAACCAAATTTATAGTGTGCTTTTCAACATAATCAACTTTGGTCAATTTATTTGTCTCTTTTTGACTTTTTTTGTCTATTATGAGGATTCAGTGAGATGATCATAGAAATTAGATAAACTGCAATTTGGAAAACTTTCAAATCTGTAACAGAAATACTCTTTCATCATTGATTTTCTTTGTTCAGTTTTTTTATGCAGAAACAAATCAGCAAAAAATTATATTTGCCAGTACTAACTTCAAGCTAGTCCAATTTTAATCATACCATTGTGGATGTGGTATTCGTATTCATTTTTCTATTCAAGATGGTGCAATATAATTATACTCAACATTGTTTTAAACAATATAGGGCGAAATTCATCACGTTGTGAATCCAGATCCATACCGTGGAATCTTTGGCGCAGATGCTAATAGTTATGCCAAAGATGTCCAAGACCATATTGACTATGGAACTTCAGGAAAAGTTGCTGGATTTATAGCGGAAACAATTCAGGTACGTATAATCTATAATGTTTAAGATTTAAAGCGGAATTTTGAACACTCCATTGGTCTATTTTTTTGTTTAGATTTTACTCACTGTTTACTCTAGGGAGTTGGAGGAGCGGTTGAACTGGCACCTGGGTACTTGAAACTTGTCTATGACATTGTACACAAGGCTGGTGGTGTTTGCATTGCTGATGAAGTGCAAACTGGGTTTGGCCGCACAGGAAGCCATTATTGGGGATTTGAGACACAGGGTGTCATTCCTGATATAGTAACCATGGCAAAGGTCTATACCATCATCTCATCTGTCTTTTTTTACTAGTTCCTCAAACCTTGACACCTTAATCATGCGTTTGAAGTGCACCATCATTTGTCTCTTATGATGTTCATTATGTATCTATATTTTTTAAGCATAACTTCATGTTATGTTCATTATGTATGCATATCTTTTCAGTATAGCTTCAAGTTTTTCCTTTAATTTTTGGCTTAAGATATTATGTTCTGTTATCTTTTCACCATAGTATATATTTTATTTTCTGCTTTCTTTTCATTCCTGTCTGAATATATATTGTTCTGGCTTTTGAACTTTCATATCTTCTGTATCAGGGTATTGGCAACGGTCTGCCATTAGGAGCTGTAGTTACAACTCCAGAAATTGCGAGTGTGCTGGCCCAGAAGATTCAATTTAATACCTTTGGCGGTAACCCTGTATGTTCTGCTGGAGGACTTGCAGTGCTCAGGGTTCTTGATAAGGAGAAGCGTCAGGCTCATTGTGCTGATGTTGGTTCTCACTTGCTTGAGCGTTTGAGATCGCTTATGCAAAGACATGAAAGTATGTCATCTTGAATCTAACATCCTATAAATAGTTAGTTTTTTCTTTTTGTAATGCACCTATTTTATAGCATGTTTGCACTTTCTAGCTATCTACATACATGCTTTAATAGTCAGAGGCGTGTAACTGTGGGTTGAGGGGCTTTCATTACTTGATGTGGGTCAGGGATTGATATGTTAGAGCCAGTATGGAGCTATATCATGTTGCTTCAACGTTGTTGATTATTCTCATAATTACTATATAATGTGCCAGTCATTGGAGATGTGAGGGGAAGAGGCTTAATGGTGGGGGTAGAGTTTGTTACGGATCAAAAAGAGAAGACACCAGCAAAGGCTGAAACAGCTGTTTTGTTCGAAAAACTTAGAGGTAAGACAAGAATCATTTCATGCATATGACGTCTTCTTTTTCAAAATATCTTCCAAACATTCTAACCGTTTACTCGCATATGAATTGAAGAGCTTGGTATTCTAGTTGGGAAAGGAGGACTGCACGGAAATGTTTTTAGGATTAAGCCACCAATGTGTTTCACCAAAGATGATGCAGGTATAATTTTGTCCTTGCTCTCTTAACTGGGATGCTGGTTCTAGATTCTTTCTCGAACCCTTCTCCTACTTAAATGTTATTTTACTGATCGTTCTCCTCTTGTGCAGAATTTTTTGTGGATGCCTTGGACTATGCTATATCAAAGTTGTGAGATGATTATGCATCCCTCTTGCATGGAAATGATATCCTTGATAATGGAACCAAATTGCCACAAGGCAGCACAACTGACAAGTTTTTAAATTTCAGATGTCACTATGAATAATGTAATGCTCACCCCGATGCTAAGAGGGGGTTCTTCTCTTGGACATTATTGTATATAATTTTGGGTTTCACAACATCATAGAGCTGCATTCAATCTAAAGAGTAGTGTTAAATCCATAATGAAGATCTTATAATGAGGTCAAGTGGAGCTCAAAAGTAGAGGACAACTTCTTAAATTGGTTAAAAGTGACAAATTACACTAACGAATGTGACACGCATCTAGACCTAAAAAGTCTATGTCATCGCTCACTTGAATTTCTAATATTCCCTCTCTTTCAAGTGTGAACCCAAACTTTGTATGCTATCCCATCAAGCATTTGCCTTTCTAAGTATTCGTGGGATTACCTAGAGTTAATTCTTGGTTAATGTTCACAACATGGATTAGTCATAAATTTGGGCGCCAACCATTATTTTCAAACACTTGGTCCAGTCAAAGCATTGGTTCTATTTCTACTCATTAGGCAATCAGGTGAATCTCAAAAGTAAGGGAGATCTTAATGGACTAACTAACAAATTGCGACTGTGGGTTTGATACAATTTTTTGATCCAATTTTTTTTTTTTTCACTTACATATACTCAACTCATTTTTAATCAAAGCGAGATTTTAGATATGTCAAATTTCAAACACAATATCATACAACATATTTAGAATTTTAAGCTAAAGTTGAAAGGTGAAGAAGACAAATAAATGAATTTATATCTAAAATAAGAATAGCTACGTCTGCTTAGTAGTTAGTACATAACAAATCATGAAATCAATGACAGGCAAGAGTAACTTTACTCAAACTGCACCAATAAAAAATTTGTCTCGTGTAACCTGTCGGAGTTCTCACTTCCAAATATAATGCTTTACTTTGTTTTATGAAAAGACTAACGATAAACGATTTAAGACAGTGTTAATATTCTTGTTCTATAAGATGTGGAGTAGTGGTCCAATTTAGCACGGCCGAGTCAACAAGTATAAACGCTAACCTCTCAAAAAGTATACTCTGTTGTTCTCTTTGACAAGAAAATAAAAAAAATATTAATGGGAAGTTTATTGGAGGACGAGTTGGTATAAGATGGAACAAGATTTTAAAGAAACTGAATCAACATCCTCTACACATTCTACATCCTGAAATTGCCATGCTTTAAACCATCAAACCCAATATATTATTTTGTAGGTACTCTGCTCAATGAATTCAAATGACTCGATAGTTTATTGTTTTATCCAATGTCTTTGTTTAACTTTGTGTTTGGCTTTGGCATGTTTCTTATGTGTTTTTTTCTATAGTGCAAAGTGTTTAAGGACATTCTAAGGAGAGGACGATGAGGCTAAAGTGAGGGTCAGACAAGAAGAAAATGTCGTAGAGTCACTAAGAGCAACATGGCTATTCGAAATTTTTAATATGGTTCATATCACCATGGTCCTTCTATTAAGAAATTGACTCACGAATTAATTTTTTTTTCTCCTTCTCTCTTCTCTTTCCTTAACCTTTTCTCTCTTTTTCTCACCTCCGCCCCATCAATTTTTTCTTGGGTCCGGAGCACACAAAACTAGCTCGGCTATTCGTTTGTTATCATTGACATGTGGCAATAGTGATAGAAATATCTATGGTACTACTGCTGTACTATTCACTCAATACATCTATTCAATAAAAAATGAAGAATGACTGTCAAGTTTGTATGGAAAGGAGAGAAAAATATTTTTTTTTCCAAATGTCACTTGTTGAATGACAGATGTACCTACTACAGATGTACAGAAGATGATCTCAATAGTGATATGGTAATCCGTTTGTCCATCATAACTTAGCAAAGACATGTTAATGACTAGAAATAAAATTGATACTTTAAAAAATGAGGGATAAAAAACTAAACCCAAATTAAAGTCATATTCAAATGGAAAAATAGTGTCACTATCTTTTCTTTGCTTTTTATATCACTCATAATTATCTTTTTGATCCGAGTAACTTCCCCCATATATGCCTATAAATTTTGAATGTTTGAGTATGCTACGGGACTAAACCCGAGTGCAAGATGGATCAAAGATTAAGGTTTTATGCCCCTTCTCAAAATAGCATTGGTGGTGATCAAATGAAGTTCCTTCACTCAGTTCCTTTCCACCAACTGAGCTGCCATCGTTGAATAAAGTGTCACTATCTTTAGTTGCTCGAATATTTACCACACGAGCTTCTGAGAGCACGTCCTTAAAAGGATAAACATGTCTAGAAAGAAAAACGCAGCTGTACATTATACACATTTTACATGACCAACTTCCATAGAGACCCGTCACACACACCTAATCATATTTACTACTTCTCCGTAACACAAGACTGCAGGAAAAATTGTAGCAGCCAGTATAGATCATAATCATGATCATGGTTTTTGATTTATGCTGCGCTACTGATATAATAACTATTTTTATAACTACATAAATATAATGTTTCAAAATATAACTACATAACAATTGTAAAAATATTTACTCATGAGTGGGATGATCAGCCCAAAGTTTGCTCAAGGCCCGTAGGCGTTGAAAATATTCCCCAAAAGTAAGCAGCCATCGAGCATTCTGACGTATGCTTAGTATTCGAGACATTTGCTGCAAGGTTTCTTGTCTTAGATGATCAGCCTGTTTCACATAAAGCTTGCTTCAATTTTCTAATAGCCAACCTAAACTTTTCTAAAGTGGAAATGGTTTGATAGCATAGACATTCTTACGTACACTTCAATGAAACCAATGTTCTTATATTGAATTACCCTTAGACACGTTAGCTTGGATCATCGTTGTTTTCAATTAACTATATATTTTGAGACTTTTTCATTATCAAAATGTAAAAGTTCTCATTGGTGATCCTAATTAATATGTTATTTATAAGTACCATGATAAGTCCATTTTAAGGTATGTAGCATGTATTGACAGAAGTGAATCCTCTCATGTGTTATTCAACATGACATATTATATGGGAGGATTTTAATCATACAAAAGTGAATCAATAGTCATAAGAAAAGAAAAAGAAAATATATTGGGAGAAGTTGCAAAATCATCATAGTTGATTTGTTTGTTAATAATCATGTTAAATAAGACACGAGAAGATCTATTTCCCAGCATGTAACTGATAAACATAGAATTTACACACTAACTTATCACGTAAAATTTACACGTAACATGATTCACTTCCGGGAACGAATACATGTTGGGAATTCTGAGTGAACATTTTTTTTTTTTCTTTTTTTTGGGTTCATGCAAAGAACATTTACTCAGCAAACATACATATATTTCTTTTTCTGTGTTGATATTAAAACTAGTATAAAAAAATACAAATAGCAAGGCATCCTTTGATTGACATGACATGGAATGAAAAAGGTTTTATTAAATTGATAAGTAAATGGCTATGAATAAAGTGAAATACATTACCTGGTTGACAAAGCTTACCAGTGCTTCTGACCTCTCCATTACAGTAGCCATATGAGGAATGTAAGTTCCTTCAACAAGTTGTCCTGCTTCTACAGTTTCAGCAAGCATTTGCTGGAGTTTGTTCATACCTTGTGAAAGGGCATCTTCTGCTTGCCGGCATGATTTTTCAAGGCTACAGGCATCTAACCGTTCTTCCTCTGTCAAGGGTTCACACAGAGGGACCAGAATCTGCAATAATAATAGCAATAATATTGGTATTACTAGCTTACATTATGCCATAGTAGAAATATGGCAACAGAAATAATCCCCAGTTTATCATGTATCCTAATAAAGGTATGAAGTCAAGACAAAATCTAAATATCAACTATAGTACAAAAAGCATTTCAGAGTCAATCACTGACACTGAGTGATAACCATTTAAGTACAAAAAGCATTTCAGTAGATCTTGCTAATGTATAAAAACTGTAGTAAATTACTTCAGTGTCAATTTGCCTATATTCTCTCAATGAATCAATAGGAGATTATTACTTAAAGTGCAAAACAAATTGCAAACTTGTTCATTAGTAAGCATCATGTGGAATGGCTTACACTAAGGTTAAGTACTGAGATACATAAAAATACTAGCACAAATTGAAAAAATTGAAAAAATAAAGCAAACCATCCAATCATATTTTCAAATAATAAAGAAACTTCCCTCCTCCCCTCTTCCGGTGATAAATGTGAATGTGTAATGTTTCTCACAACAAGCTTGCATATATAGATTAATAGTGACATTTATATTGTTACTACATCTGGTTACAGAACCCACAAAGCTGTATGGGCAAACATCCTAGTTTTTAGTACAAATCAAATTCAGATTAAATGAATTCTTTCATTGTTTAGATATCAAGCATCACCTTTAGAAGTTCAGAGGGGCGAAAGCCTCCAATCCACAAGAAAAGTCGTTCAGTTGTTGTTTTCCACAAACCAGACATAACATAAAAAACATCTGCTTTTGCAGCAGCAGATTTCATGCAAAAGAATTTGAAATAGTGGTTCATTATGCCATCTACAAGTGTTTCCAGCTGTATGTCATCGATATGAGCACTTAAAGCACTTCTCAATTCCAAGATTTGTCTATTTTGCTCTTCTATCCATTCTCCATACTCCATCTTAAAGGTTGTTATTCCTGTAAATTTTGTTTTGACCACAGAATAAAATTAATTTTGAAAATGAGAACATTAAATTACCGAGATATGAAATAACCACATTTAACAGGAAAACTCGAGCAGTGTCAAATCAGTATCTAGCACTAGCAGATTAATAGCAACAAACAAACCTGAATTTTCAGAGCCAGCAAAACCCAGATTATTAGAACCCAATCCACCATCAATACACAATCCCTGCAGTTTTGTTGCCTCAAGAGATTGACAAGAGAGGGAATAAAAACAAGTAGATATTGAACAATATAAAGTGATCCATAGCAGAGACTAGTAGTAATTGACTCAGCTTCACAGCACCTGTTGTCTAACATGATCTACCTCTCTCTCTAACTGCATCAACTTCAAACGACATGATTCTAACTGCTGCACATAGGCCTATAAGGAAATATCAGAAATCACATGAAAATTAGTACATCTAAACACTTGTTGCATGTTTGGTAATTGGTATATCTTTCAGTGCATAAACCTTCAAACCTTTTTCCTTAAACGACTCTTACGAGCAGCCTCTCGATTTTGTGCAAGACGTCTTTGTATCTGCATGTTTCATCATGTTAAATTCCCTTTTCTTTTCTTTTTTCCTTTTTTCACCGAAAATTAAGAAAAACATGGTCTTACCTTATTAGTAAGTTTGTTGGCTTCTTGGTCATACTTCGTAGGTGTTCCCAATATCCCATGAGAAGCATCCTTTGACTGTGTATTAAACAGCATAAAAGAAAACAGTTAATAGGCAAAAGTAGGCATTATCATTTGCAAAAGACAAAGCATAAATTTGATAAACCTGCACCTGAACCTGATTATCTAACTTCATGTTCCCTTCATCAATTAAGGACGTGGATGCACTTAAATAACCATTACTTTCGAAATTTTCTTCCCACATAGTAATTTGGTGAATAGGATCATACACACCCATCCTTCTTGAGGAAACAAACTGTGAAGATGAAGGATTCATGCTATCTAGGATACTAGTCCTCATCCAAAACAAAACAAAAGGCAACAACCAAAATCATCATTTTTGGTACGTACGCGAAAGCAAAACCAAACCGTTATACACACTTTTTTAAGGACAAAACAAAAATGATTACAGAAGCAGAAGAAGAAACAACCGGTGAAGGTGAAATCATAGAAAGCGCGCAACACAAGCAACTAGTTCCTAAAAAAAAATAAAGCTGTCTTGTATTTTTATTATCTTGTTCTCGTACTTGGTTCATCCTCGTTTTCCTCGGCAATTAAATATTTAAAATTAGAAAGAAAAAGAAAGGAAATTAAAATAAATGAATAAATAAAGGGTGAACCTTTGAAAGGTACTTTGAGAAATGAGAAGACTTTTTTCCTCGCAAAAAAAAAAAAAAAAAAAAAAAACAAATCCCCAACGCAAACTAGTATCCAATGGAATCTCTTCCAATTGAAAAACCTATCCTGAGCCCCAATAATGGTGAGACGAAAGCTTGAAACTATAATTAATAAATGAATAAGTGTTATAAAATAAGGGCAATTTTTTTTATTTTTATGTTTTTTTGATAAATAAAACATAATCAAAACAAATCCTTTATCATTCAAATGGCAATTGAGCTACCCTTTATGGTTTATTTTTATTTTTTTTTAAATTGAACTTTATAATGTATTATTATAATGGAGGATAAGGGAATCGAGAGTTGGCGTATTGGAAAACAGAGAGGGTTGAATTTTTATGAGTGTCTGTTGTGTTTGATGACGTCGTGTGTTTTCTGTTTTGCTTTGTGTTGTGCTACAGAAAGTCAATACTTTCACACCCAAATAAGCGAAGCATCATCATTGTCATTGTCATGTTTCCCCTATCGCTAATATGCGCACCAGGTAGATCCTGCGGATTGGGAGGGTTTCCTCGCTGACGTCATTTTCCGATTAATCGCCCTGCCGGGAATTTGTTTGTCAATGAAAGAATAATTTTTGGAAAATTTTAAGCTTTTTTTTAAGTTTTTAAAAGGGATCAAATTCAATTTTTGCTTTCACATAAAAATTTTAATCTAATAAGTGTATTAACCATGGTTTAATTTAAAAAAAAATTATGTAAACACACTAAATATTACACAATGGCTTAATCTAAATTAATGTTCAACTAAACATGTGAATTATTCACACATCAATTACAAAATTCTTATGTAAGGACTCAAACTTAAACATTTTTCAGAGTTAATTAGTGGACAAGGAGTAAGATGGAGATATAGGAATTCATCGTATCCTCTCTCGTGAAATTTAATATCATAATGTTTTGATAAAGAATCTTAATTATTTATTATCAAATCAATTGTTAATTTGATTATGATGGAAGATAAAGGTTTTTTTTACCATTTTGCCCCTAATTAAATCAAAAATTACCATTATGCCCCCGTATTCAAACTATTTAAAAAATATGACATTTTTCTTAAATATAATATTAATTTGTCCCTATTTGACCGTAATCGAGCCTCGTACTCAAGTACATAACCAACATACTTGAGTAAATCATGTGCCATGAGTTTATACCCGAGTAGGTCACCCTGATACTGAAGTATGACACCAGTTACTCGAGTATTACGGTCATGTACTCGAGTATTATGAGCTATTACCATAACACTTCGGAAAGCCATAGTTTTTGACTCGAATGTTTGAATTAGGTATTTTTTTTATTTCACGTAACTTTTTGAAATATATGCATTAGAAAATTCTCGAAGGATTATTTGTTAGTGTTGAAATATAGAAATTTAAATAACATCATTCACAATTATAAAATATGCCAAACGGGGAACACATGAGAATCTTTTTTAAAAAGTTACGTGAAATAAAAAAAAAAAAAAACTGATTCAAACAGAGTCAAAAGTTATGGCCTTCCGAAGTTTTACAGTAAAATATCCAAAATTTTGTAATGCCACAAAGTCTCTCCTCAAGTCACCCGAGTTAAGTCCAATATTATGAGTTTATAATCATTCAAACTTGTTTAATCCAAAAAATATTGTGGAAAAAAATTTATATGGCTCAATTCACTGATGTAATTGATTATCGTATGCTGGTGTAATCGATTACTTTATGTGAATGTTGTAATCGCTTGGTCCATTCAACGGTCAGGAATGTGTGATATGATGGTTTAATAAAAAAGACTCTACTTGCGAAGAATGCTTGAGAACCCCACTCATATACTCGAGTACTCAACCCTTGTAAGAAGTTTGTGTCATCTTTACACTCATATACTCGAGTATTATTCTATGTTGTTAGGCACACAAAATATTAAAATATTGTAATTTAATTAAATAATTACGAATACATAGCTATTTTCATACTATTTACGAATATATTGCAGAATGTCACGCCCCTCTTAGGCATGAGTGCCACGTAGGTCATGCCTCATTTAGGCGTGACCACTCATGCCCAATTCCAGCGTGGGTAGGCTGGGTATTTTGCCTACTTTGAACGCGATTGGGTCAGATGTCTTCTATTTAAACCTTCTCTCCTCCACACTCTTCACAACTCTTCTCCATCATAACTTTTTACTCTTACATACAATCTTACTATCTTATTCATACCCTCTTATTTTGTTTGTTTATACATCTAGAATTGAGTTTACATTCTGATTCTATTCGTGTTGTTTTATATTATAATGGTTGGAAAGTGGAAGGCCGACGTGGTGTAATTTTTGAAGGTGAAAAAAGGCCAACACGTATCAAGCGCAACTCAATAATTGATGATCTGCATCATAGAATTTGTCAAAAGTTAGCTCTCTGACACGAGCTGTCGAACTCGCGCAAATTAAAAATTATTTTTTAATTAGGGTTCAGAAAATTTGCAGTAAAGTGGAAACCCTAAGTCGTCTCTCAAGGAAATTGTTTTGGTTAAAATCGCTTATGAGAACAGAAAATTAAAAGGGGGGTTTTGGATTTTGATTCAATAATTAAAAAGGCAGAATATAAATTTGGAATAAAAATTCGTAATTAAAAATTAACCAACCTAAGGTTTGGGATCCATGGACGTCTTTCCTCGGATAAGAAAATATCAGAATCGTGATTGATTTGTCAATCGGATCAGAATCCTTATTTCCAATTGACAACCCTCTCTAAGCGATCGCTTAGCATTTGATCAAAGACGATGCTTCTACTCATACAATCGTAGAGTATCAGCCCGCTTGATTTAAGGTCATAGGGTCAATCAACCTAATCATCAAATCTGATGATTAATCCCTTTCCATAATCGCAATCGCGAACCTCAGATTGAATATCCACGATCGCACGATATCAATATGAGTTGGGAGGGGAAACGAAAACTGATTTGAAATAAACGCAGACCCTCAAGGCTAATCCATGGAATCCATTACTCTTAGGTTGATTAAAAGGTTCTTAGCCTCGCATGGCTAAGGTAAGCATAATTGAAATAAGAAGAAGAAGAAGAAAAAGATGAAGAACGCGAAGAACGCTTCAGAGAAAATACTTTTCTGTTGTAAACACTACTCCCAAGGGTTTCCTAGAGTCCCCTTTAAAGAGCTGTCACGCAGGACGGCCAGGGTTTCATCACTTCAGCCCAAAGATAAAATAAAAGCTAAATAAAAAATAAAACAATAAAATAAAACATGGCCTTGGGCCCTAAACACATTGGGTCCTAATGTGAATTACAAGTCCAAACGTCAAAATAAAATTCCAGCAAAACACGTCATCTTGAGATCAAGTTTCGACCATCTTTCCGTCCGAATTGGGCTTCAGTAGCTGAAATAGCGATTGTAGACCTATCTGTTAGATGCAAATAGCAACAAGAATGGGGTCAATCGGACATCTGTAGAGTGAGATATGGTCAAAATACAAAAGTAGTGTAAATCTGGAAAATTATGACGAAAATCAATTAAACCCAACTAAAATCTAGAATAGTGAATTGACCCAAAAGACCTTTATTTAATTCAAATAAATCATAAAAATACCAACCAAGAGTAATAAATAAGTGTAACAAAATATGAGTTATCACTCTCCAAGGTAACCAATCAATTACTTAGGTCACGACAAGATTATTGCAATATGAACAATACAATAGTTTGCAAGAGGTGGATGATGAAGATGTAGATATAGTAATGGAAGAATTCTTCAATCAGTCAAGGAAAAATTTCTTGGAGTTGTATGTGGATATTGTCGCTGCAGATGTTGTTTTACTCATGAGGTGAGTTGATTTCAATTCTCCATGTAATATATCATCTACTGCTCCAATTGTTAACATTTTTTAGGAAGATGAAAATGACCTTACTTGAGTTATGGATGACGATTATGATGATGACGATGATAAAAATATCGCAATAGAAGAACGTCTTCTGGCCGATGATGCTAGTGCCTCGGACAATGATAAGGATTGTGATATGCCCACATCTCAAATACAAGAATATCATGATTAGGGGAGTATCAAGTCCCGCGACGTAATGACTTTGACTCGGCTCAATTACCACAACATTGTGTAGGTATATTAGTAAAAAAAAACTCGTAAATGGTTTTGTTTGTCTAATTTTTCTTCATTTTTTACTAGTATTAATTCGTAGACGCAGGTGATGTTGCCTTTACTCCATTTTGGAATGGAATCCCACATTACACATACATTGATTGGAGTCATCAGAGCGAACAAGAATCATGTATTAAGGGTTAAATTTCGAGATCGGGATCAATGCAAGGTCCGTGGCAATGGGGTGATAAGTTGTTTGTGAAGCAGGAATTTTCAACCAAAAAAGATGTGCAAATGGCAATCAAGCGGAACCTCGTGAGAGATAATCAAGAAGCGATTATGATTGAGAGAACCCTACAAAGTTAAGCATGAAATGTTTCGTGCATGAGCAGGGTTGCCCGTGGAGGGTTAAGGTAATAAAACCAGTGTTCGATGAAAATTGGAAGATTACCAAATAAGGTGGAGATCACAATTGTTTGAATGACCATATTTTTCAGGGTCACAGACAGCTTGATGCTGATGTCATTGCTTTACTTGTACTAGATACAGCTTTTAAGTATTATGTGATTATGACAATTTACTGATATTTCTGTTTGTCTTAATGTCTAGGTTATAATTTCATTTATAGGGATGATAAAGCAGGAACCATCAGTCTCAATTGCACTGGTCCAGGAAAGGATCACCTCTAACTATGGATTCAAAGTTTCATATCCAAACGCATGGTATGCGAAGCAGAAAACAATTGCAATAATGTATGGTGATCGGGAGAAATCATATGCATTTTGGCCCAGTGATATGAATATATGTTTCGCTTTTCACCA